CACCCGTGAGGACTAAGATGGAATGCCTCTTTGCCAGTAAAAAGGGTCTCCGGTTCTCTACACTCACCATACGAAACACAGCAGCGTTAAGCTGCTATTTTACGCTGGTTTTCTGTGAGAGCGTGGTCCTTCCCCGGTCGAGCCGACACATTCGTGCTACAACTATACCACTAATATAGCTGCAGCATGGCTCTACCACGTTTGTTGTTTTCTTCATAAATTAATTGCAAGTCCTACGCTTAAGACATGACTTTTTACACTTGTAACTCGTTTCTTTCAATACTTGAATTCAAATTTTTAACAACAGCAATCAAAGCGGACCAATGTTGAAAATTACTATTAGTTCTGCGTCGTATGTTAGAACTTATAATATTTTTTTTAAGAATTAAACGATCGTAGTAGTTCAATTAAGCTGTCGGGGATTGTATTAAAAAAAACAGGGATACATACAATAAATAGAATAATTTATTTAAGAGATTTCTCATCGCGAATTTATTTAGCTTTATTTATATTATGGCTTGGCTACTGCAATATACTGTAGGTACCTATACAAATACAAGTGTGCTCACTCGCACTCACACTCGGTTTAATTGTATCATGACGAATCCTTGCAGTATGAGTCACAACTGATTCACAGTTTAAAAATTACACCGTGAACGAATAGGACGTGAATTAACCATTTTTCGATATCTATCTATCTATTTTTTTTTTTGTAAAATAAGTTATTGTTTTCTTAATTCGTAATTTTTATTGTACATTAGTCCTTTTTAACACGTTTGTATATGAAAATAAACTAGAAAACCATTGTTCTAAAGATGAAGTAAAGGCTTAACCTTGATTGCATCTTGCTTAGTTCGCTGGTTTAAGTAATAAAATAGATATCTCTTTATTTTGACACAACTTGCAAAAAAATTAAATGCCCTACTTTCCCTTTACCGGGACTTTCAAACTTAAGGTACTCTAAGGTACTATTTCATATTATACAAGTGTTTGAATGTATTTATTTGTAAACCACAAGGATCTTAATCTTAACGGTTAAAGTATAAAATCGCCGTTTTATATTGAATAATGGTACTTTGGGATTATCCAGTCGACCTCTTAACGCTCATAAACCAAATAAACATAGTACCTATATTTATTTCATCCAAGTAATTAATCAAGATGCATTTCTGCCATCTCTAAGGAAGATCTCTTACGCCATTGCGATTGAACTCTTGGGATCTGGACTCAACAAAGTCTATGAAAGCAGTTTGTACCGCTTCCTGGGAACAAATGTTTTTCCTTGCTGGAAATTGTCCAAATTGCAGAAAAAATAGCATTCGGTTGGTGCAAGGCTAACTAGTACGAAGGATGACGAATGGTTTCTAACCTTGTAACGCTAAAACACCTTGTAATGTTAAAACCGTTTATCGAGCAGTGTGAGATCTTGCGTTATCATGAAACAATAATAGAATAGCATCGTCAAGGGTTCATCGAGAGTCTGGTAATATCTGTCGCCTGTTGCCTGTTGCTGCCTCTTCAACAGAAGTAAAGTCTTCTGAGGATGGATGGTGACGGGTTAATAAAGTACATGGAGTTACTAAGTATCAGTATAAGTAAAATATCTTAGCTAGTACTGTTATGTCAGTAACGTGTTGATAACATTTTGTGAAGGTATATAAAATACTTAAACTGAAATTATAGATCAAACAAAACTATATGTATAGTCGTATTGTTTAGCCGCCGAAGTGTTATTAGTAAACTAAAAGAAATGCCAAATGGCCATAAACTTGAGATAAATGATAATATATAAAAATCTCATATAAATATATTTACAATATAGCCAATTTGCAAGAATATTTTTTGCAAATTGCAAAGAATTCAATAAATTGTAAGAAATCTGGCTCAGCAATTGCCAATCCGAATGCAAAGTGAGATGATTACAAGAAGTCCTCCTTATTGTAAGATTTCGTATGATAGTGGCATCAGAAAATCTGCCACTCCGTCTCTTCTTTTACGCTGCCACCACACAGTGACGTATTTTGACTGCTAAAGTAATGTAGCGAATTTATAAATAATTGGGAAGATCATTGTTTTTTGTAAAAAGCAACATAATATATATAACTTTTATGCATAATGCTAAACGTGATTTTAAATATATTTTTAAAACTGAAATGAGAACCAAACTTACTGCCCGCCGACTTGATAGTAAGTAGCTTTTGCAACCCATAGACACCTGCAGTCTAGTTTAAACAAAAAGGCCTCAATACGTTGTCATCGCTGAGGACTAAAATGAAATCTGCCTCACACCATGTTATTATACTGGCTCTCTATACGTACTGGACCGGAACACAGCGGTGCGAGCACTGCTATTTGCTGTTTGCTGTTGTGCGTATTAATACATGTGCGTTCATTTTTATTTAATTTGCATATTTACTAGAATTTAAAACCAGAACTTTAAACCGTATGCTTTACATAAAATGGTAAAAGGTGGACAAAAAATCAGTAGGTCATATAATATAAAACATGCTGTGCTAAATCTTATCTTAACCTTGTTAAAACTATGCCTAAAGAAGAGTTGAAAGTTAGTATTATTGTAACTGTTTATATAATGTTATGTCTAAGTTTTATTGTCCAAATATAATTTTAAACAAGTCTTTTTATGACTGGTTTTTGTTATTGCTACTTTTAATTGCAGTAACACATTTATTTTTTGTGTTTTTTAATATAGAAAGCAGTTAACTTAACAGTTGTTATTTAATATTTTTTTTATTCACTTATTAGTTATTTTACTAAATATTAAAGTATCGTAACATTGGTTTACTGTTTGTAAAGATAATCACAGCTGTCGCGAATTAATTAGGCATGTTACGTAAAACGATACGCGAGTTGCGTGAATTAATTGTTTTTCTAGGGCACTTCAGACTGTTACGTGTATATTGTTGTGATTATAATGCTGGCGGTTTTGGGGTCATTAGGTGGACGAAATATAAGCATTAGCTGTTTCTATGAATGTCCATAACTTTTACAAGTATTTTATTTTACACAAATGCTTGTTGAATCTTAGAATATATTTTGCTTTGTATTTATGTTTGTTTTAACTTTTTTGTTATATTATAAAATAAAAAGGCAGATTTTGGTGGAAAAATAAAATAGCTAATAAATTAATTGTGAAAAAAGCTTGTCGAATCAAAGCCTTTTATAGATTTTATTATTTTAAGTTAAAGTACTACGCATACACGCTCATTGGTTAAAGGTACTCTTAATTTGGCCCATTTTCAATATATCGCCAATTTGGTCGATAAACTTTATCATGGATGTGGAGGAAGCGAGAGAGGTGTGTCAGGATCGTGTCAAATGGAAGTCCATAGTCTCTGCCTTCCCCTATGCGTGACAGGCGTGAGTGTTTATGTTTCTATGTTACTTACTACTTGTGAAATTGAGGGGGCGGGGATGAGGAGCGACATTTTTGGCTCTAGTGGTCCCGGTCAGTAGCAACCCATGCTACGCCATTGTCCGTGGTTAAAGCCGATCACAAAAAATATAGCATTTTTGAAAACCGCATTTAATAGTGGCTATATTTTTATATTTTATGTCATATTACTTTAACTGATGTCATATAAATCAAAGCAAACAAGCAACTGCTTATGAAAACGAACTTTGCAATTACTAATATAATTCAACAGTGCCTGATACGTGAGCAATATTAATTTCTAATTTGTGCTAATCATCTTAACGTATTAGCGTATTTAAAACCATTCAAATATTGTAAAAAGCATATAAAAAATGTCAGGTAATTTTTATTTCTAATTTTGCATTTTTTTTTTAAAACTGAATCACAGTTCCTTTTAATATTATAGACATTACGAAAATTTTCTACCTTGATGCATACTTATTGACTCTTCTGTTGCAATACTTGAAGCGGGTTTTGTGATTTCTAAATTATGAAAACATTTTAATTTTATGATTCGTTAAAAAAAAGCTATTTAACGAATAATGAATAACGTAGTGCTTGTTCTTCATGAGTAATTTATATTATCATATTATTATTTTCCTTCATTATTGGGAGAATGGTAAATGTGTTGTCGGCAGTGTTGGAAGTAGTATTAATAGATATTCATATGTCATATCCTAAGTAAAAGCATGTTCTTTTTATCAATAGTATATTCATTTTTTTTAATACACAATCGAGCACACAACCAACCTGATGGTAAATGGTTGCTGTGACCCATAGACATCTACATCTATCCTCAATAAAGAATCAAAATGCAGATGCGTTGTCACCCGTGAGGACTAAGATGGAATGCCTCTTTTCCAGTAAAAAGGGTCTCTTGTTCTCTACACTCTCCATACGAAACACAGCAGTGTTATGCTGCTATTTAACGTTAGTATTTTGTGAGAGCGTGGTCCTTCCCCGGTCGAGGCGATCTATTCGTGCTACAACTATACTACTAATATAACTGCAGCATGACTCTACCACGTTCTACAAGACACATTCCATATTTTAAAGACTGAATTTATAAGAACCGGGTCTTATTTCGATAAAATGCTTGTACTTATTGTACTTGTAGTAGTGCGGAGGATTATCTATACCGACTGTATACACCTAGAGCTGTGGTTGAGTATTAACTTGATGAACAATAATAGAACATAATTTTAGTACGGGTAAAATGCCCTAAAGTTTTTCTCACTTTTTTATTTAAAACATTTAAATAAACTTAATAAGAAAGTAGTACTCTTAATATAACTTAACCGCATGTAGTCTACTGTTAAAATAATTTCTGTTGAATGATTTTTTATTTCTAATTCGGACTACATAGAAGTTTTTATAAACAAATTACAACATAAGTAATTTATATAAAGAGCTTAAAAGAACGGAACATAAAAATTTACATGTAAGTGACAGAGGGTCTTTATTAATAGTTGTATATTTTCTAGAGTGATATTTTTTATCTAATGAGGTACAATAAAACTTGCGCTATTATTTTGTGTTCAAAATGTTTGATTTAAAATATATTTACCTTTTGCACAGTCGATTACTTTAAAAGTAATATTCTTAACTACACCTTATTAATTAACACTAAACATCACTAAAAAATCATAACCGCACCAATTTATTGCGTATATATCGCAAATGAGTTTTAAGTGCGCGCGGTCCAGTACGAGGGCAAGAGTTTACTGCGCCAGGCCGCCAGGCGAGCAGGCAACGCGCCGCGACACAAGGACTTGTAATATAACGTAACGAGTGTTGTGTACTTGACCGGTGCTAAATAATCAAACCTTGACGTGATTAGCGAATTGAGATGTTATAATACATAATTTATCTGATTGATCTGGAAATATTCATGGTTTGGATTGATATTGAATTGACTAATTCTTCGTTCGCCGTTCAGTATGCCTATTTACTTTCAGAATAATCATGCCAAGTACGAACTACGAATACAAGCCAATATGTATATGTTCATGACTCATTAAACTTTTATAGCTTGCGGGCTTAGTTTATATCTGTCTAGTATTTTAACAACCAGTCCCATTCTTGCTCCGACCTTAATCCATAGGATTTTCTAGGGGCGTTCAATTAAAAGTGAGATCAAATGTTATTTTATTTTTCATACAGAAACATTTTAGAGTAATGTCTGTTGAGTGTTTTTTTCCAAAGCTTGAGTTCCCTTCCTAAAGAATTCTTCATTCTGAGCATCTAAAAATTTATGTACTGCAGCGACTGCTGCTTCCTCATCTGTCTTCTCCTACTTCTACTCTTATTACTTCTGTCTACTCCTCTCAGGTTTTCTCGGAATTTTATTTTAATTTATCGTAATTATTAAATATTTGTAGATTAAAATAACTCGCGATATTTAAATTCATGGGTTTAACATGATACGTGGTAGAGCCATGCTGCAGACATATTATGGTTGTAGCACGAATGGGTCGGCTCGACCGGGGAAGGACCACGCTCACACAGAATACTAGCGTAAAATAGCAGCTTAACGCTGCTGTGTTTCGTATGGTGAGTGTAGAGAACCGGAGGCCCTTTTTATTGGACACGAGGCATTCCATCTTAGTCCTCACGGGTGACAACGCATCAGCATTTTGATTCTTAATCGAAGATAGATGTAGATGTCTATGGGCCACAGCAACTACTTACCATCAGGTGGACGGTATGCTCGTTTGTCACCCTTATCCTATAAAAAAAAACCATAACTTAGTAAAAGAATGTTATTTATTATCTATACAAATAAATAAAACTGAAGTGTCTGTTTGTAATGTCGAAATAACAGCTTTTTACTATATGCATATAAAAGTATATACGGTACTTACAACAAAAACACGATTTTTTCAATTTTTGTCTGTCTGTCTGTTTGTTCTGGCTAAGATAAGAAGTAACTTAGGCTACTTTTATTTTAGAAAAATAATTAGGGTTTCGCACAAAAAATTAAAACCCATGAAATCCAATCGTAATAAATTACACGCGGACGAAGTCGCGGGGTACAGCTAGTATACATATAAATAAAATAGAAGTGTCTGTGCCTGGTTTATAGAAATAACTCTTTTATTGAGCATGAGGGTTATTTGCATGCTATTAAGACAAGAATAAACATTTAAAAAAAATTCTGTCTGTTTGTCTGTCCGGGCTAATTTTCGGAAAGGCTGCAGCAATTATTATTAAAGAAACTTGATGAACAAATACAGAGCAATACCAGAAGTGATCTAGGCTATTATTATATCCCGCAAAGCTTGCGGAATTTTTATGTGAAATCGATAAACTGATAGAATAAATGGTTTTTGATTATTGTTTTAAATCTAAATGACGCAACACTAATACATTCATTCGAAACGGGTCGCTAGTTTTATAATATATTTACAGTTCAGTTTTAAAATAGTAGTCTACTCTATAACTTTAAACTTATTTCAGTCGCCAGCCGCGCAGACGAAAGGTGTGCAATTGCTAAACAGTACTGTGCAGGAACCGGTTCGAGCAAAGCAAAAAAGACAAGTGACTTGTACACTGTTACTTTCGAGAGAGGACACTTGACTTTTTTAGACCTTTAAACTTGATTATTGTTAATATTAATGAACCGAGATGAATGCGACGGTTACCATCCCTTCCGTGAATACGAAACACGAACACTGGAAAATAAAGCTTTGTCACCACATCCCATCTTTTTAACCGCCTTCAAAAAGGAGGAGGTTTTAAACGTGGTAGAGCCATGCTGCAGCTGTATTATGGTTGTAGCACGAATGGGTCGGCTCGACCGGGAAAGGACCACGCTCTCACAGAATACCAGCGTCAAATAGCAGCTTAACGCTGCTATGTTTCGTATGGTGAGTGTAGAGAACCGGAGACCCTTTTTACTGGAAACGAGGCATTCTATCTTAGTCCTCACGGGTCCATCAGGTGGACTGTGTGCTCGTTTGTTACCCTTATCCTATAAAAAATAATACTCAATTCACCTGTATGATTTTTTTGTGTGTTACCTCATAACTTTTTTCTAGGTGAACCGATTTAAATGATTCTTTTTTTATTTGAAAGCAGATATACTTCTCATGTGTTCTCATATAAATTTGATTAAGGTCTGACCAGTAGTTTTTTAGTTATCCTTTATAATTTATATTGAAGTCGGTTATACAAAATTTTTAATATTACCACTTGTATGTTTAATGGTCACGCTGTAACTGACCAATCTCATCAGTGGCACATAATGCTGCCGAATTTCGTAGAGGCTGAGCCCAGCAAACGTAATCACTACCAACGAAGCATCAAAGGTGTAAGATGCATACACTATTGTAGTCTTTGGTAAGATGCTTAATGAGCGACAACGCTTTCTTATATTTACGCGAACACTACACATTTGTATAAAACTAGTTTTTACGGATTTTATTACCTATTTGAACTTATTTTATATTCCCTACGTTTCGAGCACTTCACAGCACCCATGGTCACGGGGGGAGGGGGGAGGGGGGGGGGACTAAGGTGTTTGACGTCCCAATGTCTAGTACTACATAGATCGGAACAAAAATTAATCCTCTTGTGATCTCGCCGTCCAGTTCATAGGTCCGCACCGCGACCTATCCACCTAATTTGGAATTGGCTGTCCAGAAATGGGCGCACAGATCGTTCGTAATCAGCTTGACATCAGTCGTGCATTTCCAATGCATTCCTTGCAGATGGCTCAAAGGAACGTTTTTTAACTTTGTGTCAATGACGGAACGGTCAATACGTTACATCCGTCTATCGACATTCAATCCATATTGGACCAATGATGTAGTCGTTAATGAACGCCTCCCAAACGTTAACACTGAAACGAACTTGATGAGTATGTTGTTTGATATTGTATGGATTTTGGGTTTGGGTTATGCAAACTCCACCAGTGCTCATTGTGCACGTTGTAAATTCCAAAACGGGTACGTATCGACTCGTCGCTCCATGAGATGTTAGCCTACGCCTGTCCTGTAGCCAACCACAAAACTCCTTGCGTGGTCCGGGGTCCGGCGCACGCAAAGCTTGCACGCGTGAGATGAATGGAATGATGCATATTCATTGAACGAATTAGCTTCCATACCATATACTGGCTTACACTAAACCGACGAGCGGCTTGCCGGGTGCTGCTTCTCGGGTGTCGTTGGAAGTAGTCCAATATGGCGCCTTCATTTTGTCTGGACAAGGGTTGCCGGCCCCTGCCTCTGGCACGACTGGATAGCCGGAACTGGCCATGATCACTTAAGCGGTGACTTCCGTAATATTAAATCAGTGCTAGGAATTTGAAGAGCAAGCATACCACCCCAGCGCAACGATTTTGGGTGTTCTTCTTTTTGTCAGTTTTCACCAGACAAGACATAAAATCACACCATTGCTAGATACTCGACATTGGAGTATTGGTACATGTTTACGATAACTATGAGCTGGCGGCCGATACACACGCGGTAACATAAACAATACGACGTCACGCCTTGGCTAATTGCAGCTGACTGAAAAGTGAAAACTGAAATGAGAGCGCGGGGCGCATGTGGGTATGCGCCAGCGGCACTTGCGTCTGCGAAAGGATATCAAAGAGGCCTACGGCGGGTGTTTTGAGTGTATTATTGCCGCTCGTACATATAATGTAGAGTGCGTATGATTTAAATTTCGATAATTTGTAATTGATTTATTTCAAAGCTTTTGTTCTTATTTTTTTTTTAGTATGGAAAGTTTGCTTCAAATTAATAGTAATTATTTATAGATCAATTTCATAATTACAATTTTTTTTAATTGTAAAATATCGGCGCCATAGGTTTATAGTCCGTTCACCTGTTACACCCTATTTTTGTTCAGACGGTTAGAAAAAGTCATCCAGTATACATTGCTGTTATTTCAGTACCTATTTAAAATCTCTAAGTACTGTATGCTATAATAACTTCGCTAAAAAATAACCCAAGGGCTCTTTAGTGATTATTTTATTATTTTAAGTTAGTTGTCATTTAAATATATATACATTCTTATCACTTCATTACCTTCAGAGGAGAAAAGTGACCATAAGGCTCACCTGATGGTAAGTAATAATCTGCAACGTGAGATGAATTGCAGGTTGCCTGCCTTTTAGTTTTAAAGTTTCTAAGTAAAAAAAAAACGCACGGTAGTAGACAGCTTACCATCTAGATGATGTGGATAGAATTTAGAGTACCTACTCTGGCAGTGAACGACGGTGGAATTTAGCATCTGGAATAAATCCGAGTAATTCTGATGGCATTCCTCGTGGTACGTGCGATAATAAATGCAGATATGCAACGCCTGTTGCGTTTATCAGATGTAAATATATTTCACTGTATAAAAGGTGAAGACCTCCAGGGAGGGTCACACGTGTGGTACAGACACTGACATTAATAAATTACCTTGTTAATATATCAATTAAATATTGTTCTTAGAATCTTACAAACACATTAGATGACATTCATATGGAAAAGCTTTTAATTGTCGACAGCGTAAGAGAATCCACTGCAATATATCATTCGTCGTAAAAGGCATCAGAGGACATATAACAATTAAAAAAACAAAAACCGCGGTTGCTAACACGTCACATCATCTAAGGCAGTGGACTTTTATAGGCTGTAATGAATGAATGAATCAATGATTTTTTAATCATAAGTAAATATCAATAATCTTTGGCATGAATTAATACTATTGTTTTCAATCGTCAAAGAGAATTTTTAAACTATGATAATATTCAAGAGTGCAAAGTTAGCTTATAGCGCATGAATATCGTTCCATTGTATTTTTTTAATTAAAATCTTCACACTTCATTGTCTTACATTCTATCTCGGTCATTAAAATTAAAGAGTGTGAATGTATACACAGAAAATAATTTGCGAAAACTAGCGGGTCACTTTTCAAATTCTTTTGCCGTTATAAAACAATATTATAATTACTAAATAACTTGAGACAGTAAAATGAGTCTTGATTGTATGTAGTAACATACGATAATATTTTGATGAAGTACTTAATTTTGTAATAGTAATCCAAATACCTTCAGAAATGAGGGGAGCAATGTAAATACATCCGTTTTGTTAGTCTACTTAAACTGCGGTAGAGCCACGCGGCAGCTTTTGCTGTCGCACGGATGGGCCGGCTCGAACCGGGGTGGTACCACGACCTCACAGAAAACCAGCGTGAAGTAGAGGTTTACCTCTGCGTTTCGCTTGGTGAGTGCAGGTGGCCGGAGGCCCTTTTTACTGGAAATGAGGCATTCCATCTTAGTCCTCACGGGTGACAACGCATCTACATATTGATTTGTAACAGAGGATAGATGTAGATGTCTATGGGCCACAGCAACCACTTACCATCAGGTGGACTGTGTGCTCGTTTGTCACCCTTATCCTATAAAAAAAAAACTGCAACTAAGGGTTAGTAGGTTCACATAAATGCAAGCAGTATAGCAGTATAATAAGTTAAGTTTGCCAACACGTGCAGCTATTGAACTAACTGCTTCCTAATCTTTACTGGCCTGTGGTCAGTAATGGAACGTATATGGTCAATGTAGGTTCCGTTTCGCACGTGGGCTCTGATGAAGATGAAATACTGTTTAATATTAATCAAACATACGTCACAGATATGATACAAATGTATTGAGTAATCGTGAAAGTAAACAATGATTGTAATTCATGAGCGCATTCGGACATCGACAGGTGGCACATGTCTTGAATTTTTAACGGCTAATGAATTGCATTGTAGTCCGATTCGGCTAGAAGCTCGCGCAACTAATTATTGTGCGCATCGGCAACGACCGATCATTTGTTTGTTATACTTCTCTGTTATTCTATTGACATGATTATTTCCTCGGCGAGACAGTTTCTTTACGCGCTGTTCGGGCAGCAGTGATTTTTTTTTAAAGAATAAGGGTGACAATCGAGCACACAGTCCACCTGATGGTAAGTGGTTACTGTGACCCATAGACATTCACATCTATCCTCGTTTGCGAATCAAAACACAGACGCGTTGTCACCCGTGAGGACTAAGATGGAATGCCTCTTTTCCATTAAAAAGGGTCTCTGGTTCTCTACACTCACCATACGAAATATAGCAGTGTTAAGCTGCTATTTTACGCTGGTATTCAGTGAGAGCGTGGTCCTTCTCCGGTCGAGCCGACCCATTCGTGCTACAACTATACTATTAATATAGCTGCAACATGGCTCTACCACGTATAAGATGTAAGGTTTTTTCATCACTATTAACATAGGTTTATTAAATTAGTTTTATGCATTACCAAATATGTATTCTTTTAATCGTGCGAAGTAAGACAAAGGCTTTTCCAAGGTTTTCGTGCCTCAACCGAAAAACAACTTTGAAGCGACAGTGGCAGGATGGGGACGGCTAACTCAAAAGGTCGTGGGTTCGAATCCACTATTCGACTACTGTCGTGAACCACCCCTAACACAAGCATTTTATGCTTACCAAGAATGGTTACAGGGAATATTAGCAATGTGAATAGCATTTCTAGTATTTAAAACAAAACTTAGCTTTTATTTAGTCATGTACTGCTACTTATGGAATAGTATTTTGTGTATGACCCGTACGCACTTAATTTATATTCAATTTTCGAAAATGTGTATTTATGATTATTAAGCCATAGCCATCTTTTCGTTTCAAATGTGCACAAAACCCCTTGATTAACCTTACTTATTATACTTTCTTACGTGAATATCTTATTCATCATTACATCCCTTCACAAGTCTACTCCTAAACAAATATCTCGCCTAAGTAACAAATAACTCATATTCCATTAATGGTAGTGGGTTTTTAATGCCAAAATTACATGCTATTAAAAATAGATTGACCCAGCGCAGCGCAACCTTATAATAGAAACAACGAATTTTACAAATAAAAATACCACTGACTTGTACATGCTTGAGTCCACATTTATTTATTTATTTATTCCTTTTTACATCTACCTTCCTATAAGGGATATAAAATGCGGACTTAATGCCTTGGGGCATTCTCTACCAGTCAACATTAATACTAAATTTAAAAAAAAAGCAGTGAAAAAAATAAGTTTCATAACTATTAATTAATATTAAAGGGAAGAAAAACTTGCAAAAAAATATCTGAATCATGACTATTGGAATACAAGAATTACAAAAGTTGCGAAAAAATAGTAAAATATTACTTAATATTAAAAAACAAATTTGAAAACTAAGGAAAACAATATTAAAAAGGAAAAAGATTACTGTTCAAAAGTTTAACATAAAATGATTAAAAAGAAGATTAAAAAAAAAATTCACTCCCAATTACAAATATTTATAGAAGATTTATTATCGTCTAAGGAACGCATTTCTTCACAAATGGAAAACACCTAAAAATAGGTACTGTTTTTTTTTTTTTTTATAAAAACTTGTACAACGTCATCAACAAAATTACAAAGTATTTAAATAATTAGGTATTGAGTGTAGTGATGACATATCGAACTTATCCCTCCCCTGCTACCGTGCAACATCGAGCTATAAAAAATCTTAAAAGTACAAAATGTTAATGAGAAGATTCAAAATTCTCTACAATGAATCACATTTTTTACTTAACTCAGGTATTTTTATTCATAAAACTGAAGTGTCAAAGGAACGTAGAGTCCACCTGATGGTAAGTGGCTACCACAGTCCATGTACACTTGCAACCAACTTCTAACAAAAAAAGGCTACAGATGCGTTGTCACCTCTGAGGAACTCTTCACAGCTTGTAATTACATTGCCTCTCTGTACTCTTCAGACCGAAACGCAGCAGTGATATTGGTATGTACCAAGACGGACTTCTAGCCAGAAGAGGAGTCCCACTATCTAATAATGACAAGTTATGAAGAATATTACAAAACTCTCTATCGCTTTTATTGATAACTCAAAGGCTTTTGATTCTATTTATTATTCACTAGAGCATGAAAAGGATTAAAAGGTCCAGGAATACTTTACAAATATAATATAAAAATATTGAAAGAAATTCATAATCGAAATACTGCAACAGTAAAAATGAAGAGACAAGAACAGTCATCAAAATCAAGAGAGGTATAGGACTGGGAGACCCGATCACACCTAATCTATTTAATTATTTGCTAGAGCGACGTTTTTTTACATTTTTTCATCGGTGATATTTCACAAGCCTTCGAAATATAATTTTATATCCCAGACATGCAGGTTTCGTTACGACGTTTTCCTTCACTACCGAGTGCATGGTAAATCGGCTAGCTAAACTATCACGGTTCTACGACAACATTATGTATAAAAAAAATTAAAATCTGATAATTTACATAATTTGTATTAGTATTCGATACTGCAAAAATCTTCGACTCTCGATTCCCGGTACGGATCGGACGGAAACTATCTAATGACACAATTAACCTTGAAGGAAAATGAAAATTCGGAAAATAAGTGTTAAGTTATATTTATTTTGTTGCAGCTTACAGACATCGTGAATGCAATGTCTCCCCGTGGGGAACTGCCGCTCGAGTTGGCTCTGCGCGGGCGAAGCGCTTCAATAGCGACTACTCTATTGCAACATTGCGCCGATTCAGACGCACGAGGGCCACGCGGACGAACGTTGCTGCATAGAGCTGTCGATTCAAGGGATGCCTTCTCTGCTAGGTTTCTCGTGGACAACGGAGCCGACACCAGTCTCACAACTAAGTTAGTGCACGCTTTTAATTTAACATCACTAATCGGCAAGTAGTGAGAAAATAAACCAAAATCTTTGATTGTGACCCTACACCCAGAACACATATTTCGCTCAAGTGTTTTCTTCGTCTTGTAAATATCAGGGCAATTTTTTATTATCATGCATGATAAAGACAGTGTCTGCAATATTTTAAATCTCGTAAGTAGGGCAGGCGCCAAAATATACTGACAATACGAGGGGCATACTGAAATGATCGGGAATAAGAAAAACCACATGCACGGTACAGCTAAATTGTATTTTATTGTTTTTCGAAGTATTCTCCGTTCAACTTAATGCACTTTTTCATTCGTGCAAACCAGTCATTAAAACAGTAATTCCAGTCTGAAGTTGATGTTGACAAAATGGCTGATTTGTACGCTTCCACAGATGCTTCGGGGTCTTCAAACCGTTGACCGCGTAATAAATCTTTCATTCTAGGAAATGTAAAGAAATCGTTTGGGCTCTGGTCAGGACTGTACGAAGGATGGCTCATCAGCTCGTTTTCGTGCTTCAAAAAATCATTTTTTTTAATTGTTTGAATGTCATTAAGATTCTAAGAGGCCAGTATTCAAATTCTAAAAAAGGTTTTATTGTAACTCAATCCGAAATATTCTATTGCCGATCATTTCAGTGTGCCCCTCGTACTTTTAGATACTAACGTTTTCGCTTTTCGTATCGTCAGGGACTAAAATTGTATGGAATATGAATAGAGCCCCTGGCGAAATTAAAAATGGAACTATGTTTGATCATAAAAAGTTTGATAATACGAATTCGATAGTTTATACATGCTCATGACCAGGGGGCTGTTCCGTTCCTGATCTCGAAAATCAAATTTTGTCGAATGTTAGGTTTTATTGCATCGACTTTTTCTACTACTTTTAAAAAAAGTCGTGTTTTGTATAACTAACAATTAATTTTCGTTAATTTCGGAAGATAGACTTTTATACAACGCACTAAATTAATTAAAATTATCTTGTCGATGTTGGTTTGGATTGTGTATTTGAATTATATGAAGGTAGAAATAAGTTAAGCTTAAGTAGACTTAAAAAAATCAAGCAGCTATGTTTGAATAGTTATAATTTTCATAACTTGAATAAACTTTTTACGTATCATGAAATTTCACCAATTCGTTGTTAAACTTGTTTAGACCATGTTTTGTTGTAGACTAGATTATTAGCACAACTTCTTCTTCTACAAGTTTCTTTGACAGATCACAATAACATTGTTTTGTATTAAAAATGTTATGTTTAACCAAAAATTGTAAATACTTTCAACCTTAGGGTGCATGATTACCTTTAATTAATTCATTCCTTCAGTAAATTAAATTCATTAAAGCTTATCAAAATACTGCTCAGAATAGTTTGCCTTATCCCCAATGATTTTTGCCATAGCTGCCACGCTTAGCTGGCGGGCTGCCAATCGCAGTTTTTTAACATTTTTCAGCTGTCATCAAGATGCAGCCGCCTATCTCCTTTTACGGTTTACCTCTGCGCTTGTTACGTACACTCACGGAATGATTGCGGTTGTGGATATTCTCAGACCGCCACTTCACGATAGTACCGTAGCTAAATGGTCAAAACTCAGTACATTATACTCTGAGTTTAACCATTTAGATAAAATGGAGCAAGATAGCTTTAAAACGATGTAGTATAAGATTACAGATGTAAATGAGGCTACTAATTACTTAATTAACACACAATCATAACAAAAAATTCAACTACAGTTAGAAGCTCTAGACGTAAAATAATTTTAATGCCATGGCTCACACCAGCTATTCTAAGATGTGTTAATCATTACGATGAGTTTCATGAATAAAATTGAAATGGGAAACCCGGTAATGTAATGCATAGGATATCTTATAAGAGATAAAGAAATAATTGCTCTAAAAAAACTAAAAAAGTAATATGAGAAATTGCAACTGTAGTATGCGAGAAATAATAACAGTGATTCTTTTTAGGAAACTATTAACGATATAGCTTTAAGTATAATGGTGTTAGTACCAAAATGTAGAGGTTACAGGCTTGTATTAATTATAGGTTAATTTCAAAGAAAGTAGGGATGAGACTCGGCTCCTCGTCGTATGCTAGCGACGTAAAATCTACATCTTTCAGTTTTCGCACCATGAGGCATAGAATAAAAGAAATGGCCCTGAGTTCCCGGCGCCCCTTTGATGAGGCAAGAGTGCCAAGAATCTCCGGGAGTAAAACCGGCGACGAGGTTCGCCAGCCGTCACGTTCTGTCTCCCGAAGGAGCGAAAAGTGGATTGTGGAAGCCTGTCTGGCTCCACTGAATGTATGTGGAGCAATGAATGATAAGATGGATGAAGTGTGCGAAATTATGTATGATAGAGGAATAGACGTGTTATGTGTAAATGAGGCGAAACGAAAGGGAAAGAATACCACAGCACATGGCATGTATTTCCGCTTACTGGTCTGGTGTAGGCGAGACCGAGCGGGCATGCCAGGGAGTCTGTATCATCCTTTCAGAAAGAAAGGGTTAATGTGTGAAAGAGTATGAATGTGTAAGCCTGAGGTTGCTATGGATACGAATGAAAGTGGTCTTAAAGAAGTTGTTGTACGCCCCAGACAAGTCTAAGCCCACTTATATCCGAGAGCAGTTTTGGGACATGGTAAGGATGGTGTTGATGAAATGTAAGGTAAATAAAATATTATTATGTTAGGAGATTTTAATGAAAGGGTTGGGGTGAAGAGGTCTGGTTGTAAAAGGACATTGGGAATGTTTGGTTATGAGATCACCGTAGGTGTAGAAAATAATATTTTTGTAACGAACACTTTCTTTCGTTACAAGATTCACATGTATACATGGGAAAGAGGTGATGATAGAAGCATAAAAAAAATCCATAATTGTGGATCAAATAATGAGGAGCGCAGTGGTAGATACGGGGGTTTAGCGGGTACGGATCAAGTAATGTCTGGCCAAAAACCAGAAAGCTTTTTGTGCGTTCATGAACATGTAAAAGGCTTATGACAGAGTGGACAGGAATGTGTTATGGCATACACTGAATTCATTTGGGTTGAGCGCTGGTTTGATACAGGCATTAAGGTCTCTTTATAGTGACTCTAGTGCTTGCGTCAGGATCAATAGGGTATACTCGGAATGCTTTGACATTCAAAAAGGTGTCAGACAGGGCTGTATAGCTTCCCCGTAACTGTTTAACCTATTTATGGACAGTTGTTTGGAAACATTGAAAGTTGAAGAATGTAGGATAAGAATCGATGAGCTAACCGCCAAATGACTTTTGTACGCCGATGATCAAATCATGTTTGCGTCGTCGGCGGCCGAGTTGCAAATAATGGTTACATTTATGAACAGGTCTTTTTTTGAAATTCATTTATGAAAAAGAAAAGGAAATGAAAGTAAATAGAAGATGAAGCAAGTAAGACGAAAGTGATGGTTTTTGAAAGAGAAGAAAGTAAAACGATATAAGAAATAAGAATAGAAGAGTTTGTATATTTGGGATGTGTATATAGTAGGGATGGTAGATATGTTAAGGATATAGAACGAAGAATGAACGCAAGAAATAGAGTGAATGGGGCTCTACACTGTATTGTGCAATGGCACGCATGACGTATGATAAATTCATAATGCTGTGTTAGTCCCTACTTTAATGTATGGTAGTAAAAGTTACGTCTGGCAGAAGAAGCAGAAGTGTAGAATAAATGCTGTAGAAATGCGGTCATTAAGGATTATGTTAGGGCTGAATCTGAATGACAAGAAGAGATAAAAGAAAATTGTGATTTGCAAGACGATGTTGTGACCAGGATTAAGAAAGGAATACTTCGGTGGGTTAGTCATGTAGTCGTGTATTGCAGTTGTGAACGGTACAGTCGGGAAGGACGCCCTAGACGAAGGTTTATTGACCAAATTGGCGATATGTTGAAAATGGGCCAGATTAGGGAGTACCCTTAACCGACGAGCATGTATGCGTAGATATATGGATGTAAAGGAGGCGAGAGAGATGTGTCTGCCTACCCCTCTGGCTGACAGCCGTGCGTGATTATGTATTTATTATTAAGTATTAAAATAAAATGAAACGTTAGATTAAGTTTAAGCAAACATTTTCATAACTTTTCGGTATTTTAGATTTGTTTTAAGATTTTGTTAATAATAATAAATATTTCTTGAATTTTTATACTTTTTAACCTTTTTATAGGTTTTTTATTCCGAATCCATCCTTTAACAAAATGTATAAATAATGTACACATACAGATTATTTAGTTATTCTGTTGGGTAGCAATGTGTGATTCTGAAAATGTCTGGTTAGCACTTCGATCTGTTTATTATCGGCGCTACTTTAAAAGTTTATGTTAAATTATGGAAAACTACAACTTCAAAACTTTGTCCGGAATTCATGCCCTGAGATGCGATCCATAACCCATCATGTTTTCGTAAAAGCCAAAATCCTAAGTATACTTGAAGGCACAATAATTTTGCTCAAACCATACATCCTGCCGACCATAACATCAACTGCTTTAGTACTAATGAAGTAAGCGGTTTCATAATAAAAACAACAAGAAAGCCGCGCCGTTTGACCGCCAGAGAATTTGCTAGAGAATGCTTAGTGAAACGGCAAACAATGTATCTGTAAATCAAGCTGTAATAAAACACCAGTAAAAGAGGGGTACAGCGGTTTTGTTATAGGATCATCGGATATTTTTTTTTTAGATTTTACCTCGTCAAAATAAGCTTATATACCGGAAGTTATTGTTAACGTCCGCAATTTATGAGGATTAAATGATAGACTTTTTTTAGTTGCTTTTGAACGCTAAAATGTTACACAGTTCTAACTTTAACTTTTAATTCAAAACCCGTAAACATTAATGTATTCTGTTTGTAGAGAGGAAGGCGACACTGTACTGCATCTTATTGCGGCACTCACATCCAGCTCCTGCGACCCTGAAACCATGGAACAGATGATTGAGATAGCAGAAACGGTCGTGCAAAAGGGCGCCGACATCAATCGTCAAAACAGAAAAGGATTGTGAGTACATTTAACATTTATTTAAGAACGATAATATTACTTTAGAATAACATCTGTAGAATTAATAAAATCTATATATATTATACTCCCCGTGTAGTGGTGGGTAAGAATACCCACTATATCTTCCCATATCTTCACGTGGGTGCCAAAAGAGGCGACAGAGGGAAACTGTGGCAGAAGATGGGCAGCAGCATCTTCTGATAACAGCAAATAACAATAAAAAAACTGTGGTTGCCAACCCGCTCGCCAAGCGTGTCAACTATGGCAGTATACCGCCCATGAGCAATGGCACTAATGAACGACCCGCAGTCCCCGTCGGCCCCCGCTATTCATAGCTACGATGGTGACCAAGGTAACGGCGGGGCAGGGGGTGCTCAGAATCTCCGGTGGAGGTTCGGTTGCCACCTACAACGACTCGACCTGGCAGCTTATAACGCAAGCACCCTGAGGACTGACGAGAAGATCATGGAACTGGAAGAAGAGATAGAAAAGTTGCTTTGGAATATTATAGGATTATCCGAGGTCCGAAGAGAGAGGGAGGACACGGTAATTCTCGAATCCGGCAACTTATTCTATCACCGGGAGGGCGACCATCTGTCCCAAAAGGGGTGTCGGATTTATCGTCCACAAGCTTCTCATTAAAAACATTGTAAAGATTGGGAGTGTGTCGATGAGGGCTACGTACCTTATATGCAGAATCACCAAACGGTTTCGCTAAAGGTCGTACAGGTTTACGCACCAACCTCGGCATATCCCGATGAAGAGGTGGAGGAAATGTATGAGAATATATCTAGATCCATGCATTCCTCCAAAACCCACTATACGGTGTTGATGGGAGACTTCAACGCAAAACTAGGCACAAGAGAGAACGGTGAACTGAATGTAGGGAAATTTGGAATAGGGCAACGGAACCCAAGGGGCCAGCAGCTGGCCGACTTCATGGAGAAAGATGGACTCTTTATGATGAACTCTTTCTTCCAGAAGCGGCCCCACAGGAAGTGGACTTGATCGAACCCCGACGGTCCGACAAAAAATGAGATTGACTTTATTAAGACGACCAGACGACAACTGTTCAGTGATGTCTTAGTGATCGCGAGGGTGAAAACTGGTAGCGATCACCGAATGGTTAGAGGCACACTTAACCTAAACGTTAAGTTGGAGTGGTCTCGTCTAATGAAGTCAACGCTCCGTCCCCCTCGTGCTCTAATCCAAAATCCCGAAACCTTTTAGCTCGAGTTACAAAACCGTTTTCAGTATCTAGAAGACTGCAATGAAGTAGACGATATGAATGACAAGCTCGTGAAAACTGTCCATGCGGTCGGAGCTAAGTTTCGCAAGACCCACCGCAGAATAACACAAAAACTCTCCGGTCACACTCTTAATCTCATGGCTGTTAGACGGGAGATGAAGCTATAGTCTTCATCAAATTTGACACAATGCAGGCAACTGAACAGACAGATCTACAGATGCATGCGGCGGGACATAAGCAACTTTAATACTGCTTCTATTGAAGAAGCGATCGAGCGGAACCAGGTTTCAGTCTTTGCCAGAGATCTGTCTGCCAGAAAGAGCCAACTATCGTAGCTGAAGACCGAATGTGGCAGTGTCGTTTCTGGGACACCTGAGATTTTGAGTAAGATTAAGAGGTTCTATGAGCAACTGTACACATTATCATTGGAGCCACACGCAAGTGTGAGTAACGATCCAAGAACATGTTTTATTCGACACTATTCCGATGATATTCCGGACGTCAGTCTGAGCGAGATTAGAATGGCTCTTCAGCACCTTAGAAACGGCAAGGCCCCAGGCGAGGATGGAATTACAGTGGAGCTTCTGTAAGTGGTTGGAAAACCGGTACTTGAAGTTTTTCAGAGGCTCTTTAATTCCGTCCTCCATAGTGGCACTACACCAGTGGCATGGAGCAGAATTGCGGTGGTATTGTTTTTCAAGAAAGGCACTCTCTTGAGAACTACGATACGATGAACGGTACAAATTAACTTTCCCGCCATGTAATTCATCAAATATTTCACCTCATTCCTAAGTGGCGCCGCCCAGGTGGCAAAATAGTCGATATTTCACCTCATTCCTAAGTGGCGCCGCCCTGGTGGCAAAATAGTCGTGGGTGCCTTCCTTCAGTCTGCTGTCATTATGAACTTTATTGTTAAATAAATACAGAAAGAATTTTGTCGAAAACTTAATCTCTTATTAATTATGAAATTAAACATCGAACGAGACGCAAAACTAAAATCCGAAGCCAAAACATACGCACAGACACATATAGCCATCTTTTTAATCGGACTCTATAGGCCTAACACTGGACTAGTATGTCGAGATGTACAGGGCCTTGTGATTGTAATAATACATCTAGGTATTTATATCTATACATATCTATACAAATAAATAAAATTGAAGTGTCTGTTTGTAATGTCAAAATTTATTAATATTTTACTAAATGCATATGAAAGTATATACGGTACTTATAACAAAAACACAATTTTTAAAATTATTGTCTGTCTGTCTGTTTGTTCCGGCTAATCTCTGGAATGGCTGGACCGATTTTGACTGATCTTTCATTGGCAGATGATGTTATAAGGAGTAACTTAGGCTACTTTTATTTTTAAAAAAGTATTAGGGTTCCGCGCAAAATAAATAAAACCCAAAATTACAAGCGGGCGAAGTCGCGGGAAACAGCTGGTAACCAATAAAATCCGTATCTTCACGTTCCTATACATCGTCTTGTAGATGTCGTGAGAACCGCCTAAGGCTCTGAGGTATTTAATAAATGACATGAGTCTGTGGTTGCGGTTGACTTCGATGATTACCTCCCAGGAATTTCATATAAGAGAAACATGTATTCAGCTTGCTTTATATCAGGTTCTTCCCAATGAAATTGTCGTCCAATATAGAATTACTCATTTTTATGCAGATTATATAATTATATAACTAGCGTTACGCCCCATCTTCGCACGGGTGATTTCTCTTATTTTTTATAGGAAACGAGCATGTGGCTCACTTGATGGTAAGTGACTACCGCCGCCCATGAACAACTGCAACACCAAGGGAATTGCAGGTGGCGTTGCCGGACTTTTAAAAAGGAGTTAGCTCTTTTCTGCATCTAGGGGAGCCGGTTTCGAGTTTTAGCGAGACTAACGAACGGCAATTAATTTTTATATATAGAGGTTAATCGATTTGAATAATTGATCGTTCAATGGACAAAACACTTGGTATTAGTGTGTTTTTTTACTACGCTCTAGCCTATTTCTATTGCTAATAATAATAATGTCGTCCAGACCGAATTTCGGTCACGGCTGCTAGACTCAAATCAGCGCAGGACAGGATTATAGTGCCCAAGTGTATGCGCAAGCGCAGGTGCACTCTCTAATCCCTCACTCCCATAGTTCGATGGGACGGTTATCCGACATGAGCTTATCACTAAGCGACAATACACTTATTGTTGTGTTCTAATTTGAAGTGTAAGAGAGCCGATATAATTAGGGAATACTTTTTTAATTAGCCCCCTTTGATGACAACACATAATCTTATGTTTATATTTCGTTACAAGCGTTTATGGACTTCAAGAACAACGTACATTCAGGTTGATAATTAAAGAAATTCGAATTATTGTCTATTTTTTTAAGCCCTTCTTGCCACGTCGATGAAATTTTTTAGTGCTTGGAGGCGGTTACCAATGAATTCCTGAAATTAATTCTTAAAATATTATTGAAATTAAAAAAAAGTGTAAATAACAGGAAATTCAGGCGAGTATGAGAGAATTTATGGGCCAGATTTAAAAATGTATATTGACTTATGACGGAATAATTTCACTTTACTGTGACAAAAAGCTTATTTTGGTCTAAATCTGTTGTCCTGATAACGCGTCATTTGGGTACTCTGAGCAACAACACCAAGGCGACCCCTGCCACGCTATCCGTGAATTTCTGCAACATCAGGGGACTTCACTCGAATCTAAACGCCGTCCACTACCATCTTGAGATGGCGAAGCCGGCGACGCAGGTGTCCTCTCCGGCTGATACTTTGTATATCTTCTACCCGGGGTACAAATTGGATCACTCCTTTGTGCCTCGGGCTGGAGTTTGCGTATATGTCAGAGAGGACATCTGTTCTCGACGCCTCGGCAGTCTTGAAGGTTCGGACCTGTCCATCCTTTGGCTACGCGTAGACAGCGACGACCAGCCGCGCGTCTATGGTTGCCTCTATAGGTCTAAATAGCTATTCCTTGCTACAACAGGTTTCTTCCGCAGAGATCGTAATCCTTGGCGATTTTAACGCCCACCACGCCGAATGGCTCGGTTCACGTTTAACAGATCATGCGGGGAGATCTGTTTATGACTTTGCCTTGGCATATGGTCTGACACAACTGGTTACTTCGCCTACACGGATTCCAGATGTAGAGGATCATACACCTTCCCTGTTGGAATTTCTGCTGACCTCTCATCCGGACGGATATCGGGTTTCCGTCAATGCCCCTCTCGGCTCTTCGGACCATTGTCTGATCCGGAGTGTCCCCCCTCACACTCCCCTCGCGGTTGCGTTCTGTAGGTTGCCGCCGTGTTTGGCATTACAGGTCGGAGGATTGGGACAGAATGCGGTCTTTCTTTGCATCCTATAGGGGCGGGTTTGCTTGTCGCCGGATGATCCCAGCGCTGTTGCTGACACTGTCACTGATGTGGTGCTACAAGGAATGGAACTATTTATTCCATCATCTATGGTAGCCATCGGAGGCAGATCTCAGCCTTGGTTTGGTCGCTCCTGCAAGACTGCATTACGCAGTAACCATGAGTGTTATCAAGCCTGGGCTGCGGCTTCGGCGACTCGGGATGTTAACACCAGCATGCTTAAAAAGAAGTATAACTTCGCCTCCAGGTCCTTCAAAAGAGTTATTGCAAAGGCAAAGTCAGAGCACATAGGCAGAATTGGCGAGAAACTAGTTCGCCTTTTATCGGGAACCCGTGCATTCTGGTCTCTCGCCAAGGCTGTCC